TGCCAGTACAAGCGAACGTGACATGCTGTGTTCGCCGTAAACAACAGATATGCGACGATGAATTTCTCGTCCTCCTACTCCTTCAGAACTCAAAAAGCGCACTACACTTTGCTGTTCTTCTTTACCTGCCTCCATTACTGATGTTAGATGACCACATGTAGCACTAACCTTACTTCCAGCACAATAAACAACTCGAGTGCAAGGGCATGTTGCCACTGTGCTTTCCCAAGTCCCCACCAGATGTTCGTACCATAAGCAAATTCCAGTGTTACCAACTTGTGCGCTGTGTGAGTTATGCGTGGTGACCCGTTTTCATTTGACTGCCCCTTATACTTACACCACGAAAACACAAGTCTGCCATGTAAAACAAAACACCATTTAGTGAAGATAACAGTCCAAAGACCATCTATATACTTCCATATCATATCGAAACTAACTCGAATTACCAAACTATCGTCTATCATAGTTACTAAAATAACTCGTGTAGAGAATAAAAACAGTTTTGTAATAAATAACTTTTTAATTTAATTTTAAAAACCTTAAAATTTCTTTAATTTGGAGGGTAAGGTGTTATGCATTTTTATTCCTATGTTGCACCACTCTGCGCCTATGTCACACTTGCCACTAGAGGTCTCTGAATTTGATTCAGCTTTCCCACACTTCTGTGTGGAGTTTCATATATCTGCCGCTGGAGGCCTCTGAATTACCACTGTGAAATTGGCACAGTGTATGGAGATGTCAATATGGAACTGAGAGTGTGCAGCAATTGAGGAGGCATTACTTTTCAGCATCCTCTCATGTTGTGTAAGCTTTGCTACAGAATGTCTCAAGGTCTGGGACATAACTGGCAGATTCACACAGCCTAGTTTTGCTAGGTGAGTGGTGTTAACTCCATGATCATCCCCCATACAAGAATCATCCCTTTGCAACTGTGACTTTGTTAATACACATTAATGGGTAGGACCTGCCCTCCTCCAGCTACAGCCAAAGGATGTGTCATGCAGCAACAGTAGAGACCCACTTAACACCCATGAAACTGTATTTATCAAACAATTTTAGCCACTAAAAATTACACAAGATATTTCAATGTCATTGTATTCATGTGACATAACATATAGTACAGCCTACTTGTCAATATCACTTCCAAGCAATCAGGATATTGTTTCTTGGGGATAAACTGGGATCAAACAGTGGGATCAGATCACTGCATATTCCTGTAATGGAAGGAAAAAAATTGAAATTATTGTAACTGAAAATGAATAAAGTGTGAAGAAACTATACTATCATCTTATATTTATCTTTATTTTACCTGGAACAAAATTTCAAATCTCAATATACTATAAGGCTGGCACCCATATTTTAACTTGTCCCAGTTTTATACTGAACACACAATGTTCTGGAACCTGATTCTGCTTCATTAGATCCAGTGATGGACTTGCTCATTCCAATGCACCCATCAGATTATGTCCTTACTGTCTGAAGACTAAAGCCAAGGCAGCTTTTGAATGTTGTCTTTCTTGCTGAAAATGTACACAAATGACATACAGACACTGCCTCGTGTGCAACCATCTTCCAAAAAATGAAGCCTCTACCTTATCAGCATGGGGTGGTAGGCATGTTCTAATGTGAACAATTTCATACCTTACAAAAACAGCATTAACAATTCTCTATCCACTTTGTTTTATCATGTTAACACAATAAATCGACATTACTGATAACTTTTGAGTCTATTGGTCTGGTCTTGTGCATTATGTGAAAATAATGTAACATGGGAAGAGCTGTTGTTTTTAGCAAGCAGGGCTCCAATAATTTAAAAAGACATTTTTACAAAAGCAAATTTATGACTTTCATCCAAACAAACTTTGAATCATGTGAACTCTCCTTGTACATAAAATAATTAGATAACAGTGTAAGAATATGGAAAACAGAATATTTAATTTTGTATCAATTGTAAATCTGAAGTAAAATCACACAGTCTGTTCTTACCAAGTTCCTGTAGATAGAGTAATCGATCAAGTAACACGATGGTTTCCACTAGAGGGGCTAATAAGAGGCGCAGGGTGTAGAAAACCACCACCTGTTTCCACTGTGATAAATTCAATAGTGTCTCTTCAGATTCAAGATCTTCTAGTGGCACTTTCAACCCCAGTTTTATGAAGGCCAATGTGACGTACCTGTGCAAAAGTAAAAAGTAAGTAAAGTAAAGCTAACCCTGTAACAGGCCGTGAAGGACCATAGGGTTGTGAGACGTTGAGGGTCCCACATTATCCAGACAATCGGCTCAAACATGGCAGTAAGGTTGTCAGATTTACACGCCAGCTGCGCTTTACTCCCCAGGAAATTATTTCTGGTACTCACTTCTGTTAGAGGCTGAGTCAACCTCAGGGCCATAGTGCAGCTGGAAGTCCCCTCACTGGGACTTGAAACCGTGACCTTCCGGCTTGTAGCGTAGTGCCTCAACCAACTACGCTGTGTAAGTGTAAAAAAATGTATGATGTTTGACTTCATTTTAACCTGTTCAAATCATTTACATTATTCAACAAGTGATGTGCAGTCACATTTGAGATGGCCAAACACTATGAAGATATTGAAGATACAAGAGAAAGAAACACCTCTGATATAACACTTTGTGTCCTTACTCTGTAAATGTCATGTTGTTACTATGCTTTATACTCCTGATTGCAGTGTGCCTCAAATGTGGCCAATATTTGACCAGAATCTTTTCCAAAACAGCACGATAGCAATGTACCTGTAATAGAAATGCAGAAACATTCTCAACAAATTCCACTCTCACTAATATGTACTGTAACATGATAAAGGACAAGCTGAACTACATACTTCATCATGTCTACAATACTTTCCCTGCTTAATTCAAGCTCAAGTAATTCTCTGTTGGAAAGGGTTATGATTATACCCAGCAAAAATATCATTACCTACTTCCTTTATTTTATTCCATCACCACAGTAGGTAATATGAACACACAGTACAATCATCGTATCTCAACATGTTTCAGCTCATTTATCCACCATCAGGTACTCGACTATTTTACATTCACCTTTATTTGTCTGCTAGTGATCCTACAGTGGTGCGTCCATATTAACTATTATGGTGATGGAATAAAATATAGAAATTTCACACATGCAATATGATGCTAAGATGTAATATTTCTACTGTTAACTATATTTAAAGGTTTCTGACAACAGCATGACATAATGATGACTATTCTATTGGACTTTGTCCACTGTCCTAGTTTCTTAAAACCACTACATTTAAGAAAATCCTATCACCAGGCGAACAAAACCTTACTCTGGTGGGTTTTCACAAGCCATCGTTTGAGAAGATTCTCCTTCAAGTGATGGGTGATGGCACAAATATATTCAACAAGACAAACATAAGACCTCAAAAACCATGGCAGAATGCACAATTCCTCCACGTAAATAACTTCCTCACTTTCCCTTCTTATTCAATCCTAAATACAGCAATAAACTTCATCACAAATCAAATACATGTCCATAACAAATGGAGTAGTCTTTACTGATTACTGCTCAAAATGGTCTCAGGTTAATCATAATGACTATCAAGCGAAACAAAAATAAATAAATAAATAATATACAAGTTCTCTTAACCACACTTAAATGCAGCGCTATCACTGACTTACACAATTTCCAGTTCACTGTAGCACATCCACTATGATTGTCTGTCTTCACTAGTTGTCTCTTGGCAACAGATCTCAACACAGAAACCAGCACTTCAACTCACTATGAAGCCTTCCAGCTATTTTGTCTTCAGTCACTCTTGAACCTCGTAACTAAAAAATCTTCTGGACTCAGCTTATGACTGACTCATAACTGCCCTGAACAAATTGTCACTTACTTATATAGTTTCGGAAAGGAAATGGGCCTACAGTAAACACACGTCACATAATTGCTAACCAGCCAGTCTACTGGCACATCGGTCAGATCTACAGAAAACACAGCTTCCTCTATTGTTGTGAGTTGGACCATGTTTACAGAGCTGTTGCCTGGAAATGCACTGATCACGTGTATGGGTGAGTAAAGATGCAGGTTTCGATCAGTGAGTCGAAAATTTGGATATTCACTACTTGTAAAAGGTAAAAGGTAAAGTTGTCCCTGTGCTCAATGAATTAACAACTACACCATGAAGGCGTATGGGGAGTGAATTTATAGACCAACATTTTCTTGATCTTGGCACTAGCTGGAGGTCAGTGGTCAGCTTCATGCACAGGCCGCTTTATGCCCGGGAAAAGAGCGCCCAGTACTCATTGGATAGGAGGTTGGGTAGACCTCAGAGCGGGTCTGGACGATTTGAAGAGTAAATCTTGACCCTACTGGATGACTCGAACTCCGACCCCTCAGTCATCCAGCTCATAGCCACTTGCTATACTGACTACACCACCCCAGCTGCTATCCACTAGTTGTAACTACATATAATTATTACACTATTACTGATCTGCCCACTTTCCAGTCCACTGTTGCACATGCACTACAATTCTGTTTCCATTAGTCATCTCCTAACAACGGATATTAACACAGAAATTAGTACTTCATATCACTACAAAGTCTTCTTGCTGTTTCATCTTTAATTACTCTGGAACCTCGGAACTAAAAATGCTCTGGACTCACTCCTCCAACTTACGACTGAATTGTTCACTCCTTGAACGAATTCTGTCACTCCCTTATATAGCCGTGAAACAGACATGGACCTATAGTAAACACGTATCACATGATCGCTATCCAGCCAGTCTATTGGCACATCAGTCAGATCTACAGAAAATACGTCATATGGTCTCTATCCACTGTTGTGTAACATCACTATGGACATGGAAAACACAGCTTCCTCTACTGTTGTGTTGGACTGTGTTTACAGAGCTGTTGCCTGACGTGTGGATCAAATCTGTTACATTTTGAATGAAACGATAACCTATCACTCGGGGAAGTGAGATCTAATGACCACATTCTGCGCATCTCACACATGCCCCAGATAACGATCAAAACCTACATAATCACATGACTCATCAACAATTTTTACAATATTCAGTTATCACTATCACTTGTACAATCATATGTCATGCAGTGACTAACTCAATATGTGCTATATACAGAATTCTATCACAATATCTATCACTTATAATAATTTCTCATACATTGAATAAATAAACTGAACCTCTTGATAATAAGGGCAAAGAGTTCCTGGCAGAAAACACACAGCCTACACTTTTTCCAATTTCAGTTCTCCAAAAACTAAATGTCTTATTTAGGTAATGTAAATTTATAATCCAATAACAAAATTCAAAAGTACTGTCCCCTTGGATGTGATGCTGGGTAGACTGATAGAAGTGTATCAACACTTTGGTGGAACATAGTGCTTCCAGCTTCAAGCTCCAAAACATCTACCAAACTACACAGACAACAGTAACTTTCACAGTCTTAACCATACATGGTTTAATTAGTGATGCTGTCATCACAACATGAAGAAGAATGAACTGGGAAGGATGTAGACAGAAATAGTCCCAACTGAATTTGAGGTACTATCCCAGAATATTCCTGGAATGATTGAGGAAAGCTGTGAAAAACCTCAGCCTGGATAGCTGGTCTGTGGGGTCAGGCTCAACTCGGTAGGATCTTCCAAATACTAAACAGGAGTGCCACCCACTTGACTGCAACATTCTGTTATTCATAATCATGGAGAGATGGTTGTAAGATCAAATCCTACTTATGTCAATTTTTTATTCTTTAGAATTGCAAAAATGTTACAGATTATTACTGTTGGTGTTATATTTTTATTTTTACATCATATTACAGAGTCAAAATTTCTCCCTAGGGCTGATTACATACCAGATTCATGGAAAACATACCTGAAATTAAACAATGTGCTACACTAGTTATCTTCAAGATATGTGCTATTCCCAGAATGGCCATCTCCTGCAATTGTGCACTGGAGTGTTTACTAGGGATGTACCACTTGTACCTATGACTACTGGTGTCATTTTCACAAGCACGCTACTTCATCAAAAGATCTCCATATTTCAGTATATTTCTAGCTTTCCAGAGGATGCTTTTGTCAGATGGCATGAATGTCAATCAGCAAACATGTTCCTTTTATATCTCAAAGTATGATGTCAGGTTTCCTGCATAATTTGATCCTGTCTGTTATACTCTATTGCTTCCAGAGTATAGTGACTTGGCTTTCCTGACATGTTTCATCTGGTTTTGGTATATATCTGTACCATTTGTTCCTTCCACTTTCACTCTTACTTCTTTACAGATATTGAAATATAAACGTATGCAGATCCTATTAGGATTCATTCATTAACTAGACTTGAACATTCTGATATTAAGTGTTCACCTTTCTCATCACATTGCTGGCACATTCTATATTCACCATCATCTGTAATTTCCTATCTTCATAGCATACATTAGGCAGTTAGTGCTCTGGCTTGCACAGTACTTAAATCACTTTCAGTTTCTCATTTTGCAGTCCAAAGAAATGTGTGCTTTCCACTGATGAGGCCAGCATCCATATTTTCAATGTACTGTCCATGCATTATCCTAAACTACTACATTTTATTTCTCTTGCCATCACTCACCCAATTTTTTGTTTCCCTTCCATATTTTTAGTTTTTCCTTCTGCATCCCCAAGTCTTCTTAACTTTTTTAAGTTTTAACAAGGAATTGATTTTGGATCATGTTTTATGATTTGTTTATGGCTGCTATACAGAAATCCTCCTCAAACTTTTTTTCAATCCTTGACCATTACTTACATCATTCCTCTTCCTCCACTTTCTTACTCATGTGCAACCTACGTTTGCTCAAGGGTGATACAATCTATACATCNATCAAAATACTGGAAATGCAAGCATTTCTTCTGTCATTTCATTTTTGGCACTCAATTTGGAACTTCAGTCTTTCGATATATTTCTTTTTAAATTTCTCCGTCATCCTTTCATACTGAATACTTAAAAATCTCATTCCCAAATATTAATATACAATTTCTTCTTCAGGTTGTTGTATTTCTGTCCTATCATCTATTATTAAGGTTGTCAGACTAACAAATTTTCCTCTTCTAAGTACCACTCTTTCTCATCTATCCATGCCAAACTTATTCAGATATTTTATATATATTCAGATATCCTGACTAAAGTTCTTAACTACCAGTGATTGCAGTTCATATTCTCTTTCCATCCTGAAAATTGCCTTAAAATCATCCACATACACTAAGTATGGTTTATTTGATGATGCTGTCAGTATCTGTGCCATATAGCACAAAATGGTAGATGACTGGTGAATGGTGAACTGGAAAGGATTTGGAAGGAAGTGGTCTTGGCCTAATCAAGGTAATATTCTCAAATTTTCATGCGGGGACTGAGGAAAGCCACAAAAGGACCTCAGTCAGAACTCTGGCCAAGAATTGAATCAGCATGTCCCCAAACAAGTCTTGGGCATTACCAGTACACCAACCTGCTCAGTTACAGTAGGTGTGTTACAGCTTTACTGTTCTAAACTTCTTGTATAAGTGGTATTAAGCCAATTTAAATAACAATGGTAATCTCGATTCATCATAAGCCTACAGATATTAAGAGCATGACAGCATGCAATTCATAAAGACACATCCATGCGGTCTTCATTTACTACAGCACATACCTTCAATTCTTCATACTGCCCCAAACATAAACGTTCACGGTAGGTATCAATTGCATGGCATGCAATCTCTAGAGCCTCATAACTCAGTGAATGTGATCTTGCAGAAAAAAATTCACTCACTGGATAACCACCAGATCCTGAAACACTGAAATAGTATTACTAAGCATTTCTACAGCACTGCACATGCAGCCAGCCATTTAGGCTTTGAACTAACAATTAATTATGGGGGAGGATGCAGCAGATTGAGGCCAGAGACTCATCATTATGAAAAAGACTTTACATTCAGAAAGTCACAGAGCTCCAGCAAGCTCTTCAGGTACTTGTTTTCCCACATAAATTTAATATTTTTCATACCTGAAAAACTCGTGTCTGAACAACTGAGACTCAGAGATGAGTAGTTTTTTCATTTCATATTAATTATACTAATTCAGGACAGTCCTGAAAAACCAAAGGCAGTTACAGATTTGAATCTCAGTGTCACCATATAAGAATGCATAAGCGTCCACAATTTGTTGCCTTGCATATTAATTTTCAGCTACAACAGTGTTTGTCAAAAATGGCTGAAACACTTAGAAGGAAGGAGCATTTTCATCAATGGGCGATAACTGCAATGAATGGCATTTGCAGCACTGGGTTGTCAGGGTTTCCCACATTAATTCTAAATCACTGTGTCTTTACACCCCTTGGTGTAGCTACTAATCACCTGCTGTCCTCCTACAAGCGACGTGTTCTTGTACTTCTTTGTATTGAAATAATCTCATTTTTCTGAAGCATAATGCAATTTTGCTCAATAACTCAAGTTTAATCTCACTTTCTGAAGCTACCTACTTCTATTTCAGTAACCATACTGTTCACAATCTCACCATGTATTATTACTTTCATGAATTCATGTCTGTAGGAATAACTGCTGGATCCTGATATATTCAGTGTGCAACACAAACACAAACCATTAAGTCTGATTAACGGTGAAGAAGAAAAGAGCAGTTTTGTAATGTGCTGAAAGTAAAGTGGATTAGAAAAATTACAAACATGCTGAAACTGAAGTTTCAAACCTAGGCAATCAATATGGCATACATTGTTTACTAACTGTACATTATTCCACTGCTTCACACCCAAGACTGACATATATGGATATAATATTGGTAGAGCACACTGTTCAGATATTAACATAAATTGTAATGGATAACATGCACTCTCTTCTGACTTGCAATTTTCAATTTCTCTTATACAACAAACAACTGGATTTAAACATGTACCACATTCTACAGCAAAAAGAACAGATACAGAGTGTCATATTTACCTTCATCATACAAGAATAGGAATTTTAGTTCTTCTGGTTCTACAGGGCTGCCATATTTTTCACTGGGGGGTTATAGTATGAGTATTGAAAAAACACAAATCTCAGTCAGCTGGAAAACACACAGATTGATGACATAACATGACCCATGGCCAAGAAAAGCTACTACAGATAGTACACCAGACTATTTGAATGCAAAGGAGTGAATAAAATAATTCTCAGTGCTGTAACACATTCGAATTATACTTACATTCCTGTTGTAAGCTTCATGTAACAGCATCCCACAATATTAATAAATTTTGCACCTGGACACTGTACAAAGAGGTGCATTAATATTGGTGTTAAATCACCACATGAATGAAGTCCAACTATACCAAAATCAAAACTTTCTTCAGAAATTCCTAATGCTTTTTTCACTGCCTGAGAACAAAAGCAATAACAGTATAGGACGATATCAGTCTTCTATATCATTGAAACATCAGTTTCTCATATTGAGAAATGTGTCTCAAATGTGCAACTCACCTGTGTAAAGTTGCCAGCAGTCAAATGAGTATCAACTGTTATATTTAAATGCACTGGTCGATGGAATTTGGCATTTTGGGAGTCCTTCAAAATCTTGGACACAGAAGTCTCTAATTCCATATCTAACTTCCTGAAAATTGTGTGTTACTTATAACTTATTATGCAATAAGGATTAAACTTCATATCGTTAATATGTTTTGGCCTGATGGCCATGAACTAATTCATGACTACTGAAAATCACAAAATCACAATTCTCTATGAATTACATATATTCACCATACTGAATACATACAGGGGAGGTCACTTTCACCAAACTATCTGTGTACTCCACCTCTACGCAAATATGACCCATTCTCTATTCTCTATTGGTACAGTGCATGAAGGAAAAATTAAACTTTACCGTTTTTCTAACAAAACACCTCCAGCATAAAATACAAGTCCTATTAAGATCAGCAACCTTTATGTGAAATATTTTTACATGTAGAGAATATTAACAAAATACAAGGAAAAATAAGTGCAGTGTTACATTGCACACTGTCATTACTTTACAACAGTGGACCCATAAACATCAGCTGATTTTGTATCATTCATGCTCTCTATTTGTGGGTCACAGGATCAAATCCAAGCCTGGAGAAGGGCTAGCTTAAGAGCATTTAAGGTTCTCATCACATTCTCCATGCACATTCCAGGATACAGTAAACCATCATTAATCCAGATCAAAATATGAAAAATGAAGACTGCTGTTCACAGTTCGGTACATACTTTAAAAGACACATGGCATTCAGGAAGACAGATGAGTCACTTGTCTGTTGAGACAAAACTTGACAGTTTCTTCAAACGTGCATTATTACACTAAAAAATAAGTAACACTTCTGAGTCTTCTATCAATGAATAAATGTGTTGTCTTTCTACAGTTTTTATATAAAGGTTCTACAGTAATATTTTCTTACTTATTTTCACCAGCACTATTAAGATCATTAAATTTTCCATTTATTTGTGTTCTCTAAGGCTTTTTGTCCCTTAGGGCTACCTTTCACTTCACTAACCTGGATTATGGCTTAATCCAGATGACCCCATTATTCTGGATTAGCAAGAGTTTACTGTAATACCTAAATCAGGCTACAACCTCAGCCTTCCACATCCTTTCCAATACATTATTCACTAATCATCCTACAATCTGACATTATACAGTGTGAGCTACTGGCAGCATCATTACTAAACCATCAACAGGTAAACACACAACAGAACTGTATATGCAACATAAGGCCAATTGAGGATGAAAAATCACAAATTAATTAAAGTGGAAAATATGTGTACTCCACTTACTAATAGTTACTTACACTGAACTTAACTTTAGACTAAGTGATGTCATACGGATTAAGCAATAATCTGGATTAGTGAAGCATAAAGTAACCTTAAAGGACAAAAAACTTAGAACACAAATAAATGGAAAATTTAACGATATAAGTAGCACTGATAAAAATAAATAAAACAATATCACAGTAAAGTGTTTATTTAAAAACTATAAACAGACAATACACTTATTCACTGATAGAATACTCAGTAGTTGTACTTTTTTTTAATGTAATAATGCAGGTTTGAAGAAACTGTCAAGTTTTTCTGAACAGACAAGTGACTCATCTGTCTTCCTAAATGCTATGCATCTTTTAAAGTATGTACTCAACTGTGAATAGCACTTTTCACTTTTCATATTGTCACATGTATGTGTGATTACAACAAGATTTGGATTGGTGAATAGACTTAATGGCCACTTATACACTCACAAACTGACTACTCTTTACAGATCACTGATGCACATGCACACTCTAGCATCCTTGGTATATTAGTCTCCACTAGCTGTTTCCTGGCAATAAATTTTAACACAAGAACTATAACAGTCTTACTGAATTACACACTCCAAATATCACACATAAAGTCTCCTCTTTTAAGTCACACTCTTGCAACTAACTCTTTTCTTCACAGCCTCCTTTACAGGACTGACTTCTCAACTGACAATTGCCTGTCAACCCTATTGTCTTCAAGATAACTCCTTGGCACACACCACGCAGAAAACAGACCCTCTACTGTTGTTGAGGTGCGTTTACCATGCCATTGCATAGCAATGGTCATGGCACAGACCACACAGAAAACACCATTCTTCTATCATTGTGTGCATGTATGTCACGGGCGTTACCTGCTCCACTGTTGCTGTCCAGTTACTGCTTAGCAACAGGTCTATACACAACAATATTTTGATCCAGATTATCGAGGGTTTACTGTACTTCCAAATGGACTCATGATTTGAAACAATTTATTGGACCTTCACTCCCACATATTAATTTGACTTAAAAACTGATACATATCATAAAAATTTAATTAATGTGTGTTCACTACAGTGTACAATCCTGCACAGAGCACTGGCTATAACTGAGCCTTTCCTCAGTATTGCCAGGTGCAGGTCATGGAAGTAGCCCATGAACAATTAATTTCTGATCCTTCTCATTATGTTATCTATATTCATCCAATATTCTGAACAACTGATACAGCATAATTAAACAAATTACCACTCAACATGCATATAAATAGTTCAGAAGAAAATGCATTGGTTGCACAAGATGTGAAGGTCTAAATTAAATTGATAATTTCTGTACCATGCTTCACATGAGAGATTTTCTTGTGCCTCCAAACAACAGACTTTCAAACCATAACCATAGGCAAGTAGTCTTGCTAAGTGACCCAACCCTGAACCAACATCCACAATGTACTGGCAGCTCTCTGTCTGTGCTACATTTGCAGTCATCTGCAACAAGATATAAAATCAGTTACTCAAGGACAGTCACTCAATTAAGAGTAATGCAGTATTACAGTATTATGTATACTTCAAAAAACAGCAAAAGAATTCAATGCAGTTATCTACATATACCCTGTACTTTTTTCAGGCGTGGAAAAATAAAACTGTGGGACATATGCTATTTCTCTATCATGTTTCTACTAACATATGCACCAAAGTAGCTCAGGTACTCTGAAATTCACAGAATTTTATAAAAACTGAAGATTCTCTACCATGTTCACAAGAGCCTGCCACTGGCCCTTATCCTAAGCCAAATGTTTCCAGTCCACGCTCTCCTTTCCTATTTCTTCAAGATCAATTTCAGTATTATTCTTCTATTTATTGCTAGTCCATCAAAGTAGCCTTTTATCTACATGTTTCCTTCTCAGAACTTTGTATATATTTCTCTCCTCTCCCATATGTGATAATTACCTCACCCATCACATCCTCCTTGATTTCATCCTCCCGATGTTGGGCAAATCAAAAAATAAATCCTTAGCTGTAAGGGTAATGTCTCATTTAATTTTAAGACATGAATGAATGAAGGTATAAGGGGTGGGCCTTCTCAAACCTTGCACCACGACCTACAGTGGTCTACTGTGCTTCCCCTTTTTGATTATCCCTTCAGCAATCCTGCGCTTCGAATGAAGCACAGTATTTTGTACATGGGGACATTGAAATAGAAACTTGGTTCCATAAATTATTGACCCAAGTGACTAATCTGAGACATACAAACATGAGGTTTGTTGTAAAACATTAAAAATTTCAATATGTTTTCATTCCTTGATAGCTGCGCACATTCACTCAACTCCACGTTGCAATAAAACTGTCACCAAAAATATGTAAGAAATCCTTCAAATATCAAGTTTATTTCTCAGTGGTTGATTTCATCTAAAGAAACAAAAAGCATGTTACATCAAACATCATGGGGGACACTATGGACTTCGAAAGGGGCCACTGAACTATAATGGTATCAAGTGAAAAGAGTCTGAAGGAATCTTATTGCAGTTTGCTAATTGATATATACATGAAATCAGGATCCAAAGTGTGCTGCATAAGCAGGTAAGATTACATGCTTATAAAATTTAACTGCGACAACAAATCAAAGACACCGACCCTCCAAAAAGGTTCAAATATGCAAATTTCACATTAAATAAAAATGATGAAGATTTTCTAAGATGATTACTTTCCTCAGACAACGTTGTGTTTCACATTAATGGTTGTGTTCATCATCACAAATGTCAAATTTGGGGTTTCGAACAGACACATGAAATTTTTACCACATACATGACACACTGAAAGTGACCACATGCAGAGATTTCTCTATTGTTGTTGTTATTAAATAACTCCACAAATCCTGTACAGGGGCTTTAGCACCCATAGGATATAGAGCTAGTCAAACTTATACAATCTCATACAAAACATAAAAAGATACATGGTGTAACATTAAATCAAGCCATATCATAACAACATAGATTCATACACTGTTAGAAATACAACCTTTTACTTCTTACTACTCCAAGTCCATTCGTCACAATCATTAAACATTAATCATAAAACAATATCACATAATACTAAGTAATAAACATAATTAAAATTAAAAAATATAACATACAGTTAATCCCATTTACATCCAATCAGTATTTACAAATTATTTTGATTAAAAAACTCCTCTAATGAATAAAATGACCACGAGCAAAGATATCTCTTTAATGCTGGTTTAAACAATTCAATTTTATATGATAATGATTTTATATTTATAAGAAGATGGTTAAATATCCTCATTCCAATAGCATATGTCCCTTCATTATATATTGTTAATCTAGCAGATGGAAAATGAAGGTCAGTATTGTGCCTAGTATTTAGACCATGAATTTCTTGATTAGTTTTATAAAGATGCTTATTTCTCACAACAAATATCATCAAAGAAAATATATATTGAGAATAAAATGGTAAAATTTCCCAGTCTTTAAAAAGTTGTCTACAAGAGTCTCTACATCTAGTCTTAGTCATAATACGGAGTATTCGTTTTTGCATCTTAAAAACACTAAGACTATGTGGTGAATTACCCCATAATAAAATACCATAAGATAATAATGAATGAACATATGCAAAATATATCATTCTTAGAGTATTCTCCATCATAAGGGGCGTGACAATCCTGATAGCATAACAAGCAGTTTGCAGAAAACACCACTAAGGGAAATATTTACCTTTAGATGTTAGAATTGTCTATATTTTTACAAACTGATGACACAAAGCAAAAAGAAACTGAACTTGTTTTCCACTAGGATGGGGCCCCATCCCATTTCAGTCATAATCTTTGAGATGCTCTAAATGTTAGTTTTCCTAATCAATGGAATGGAAGAAGTGGACCAATATAACACTGAATTTCTTATGTTGGAATATATGAAAATCATTATATAAGCAGATAAAATCCATGATTTATGTCACCTGAAAGAAATCGACACTGCTGTAGCACAATCACCCCAGGAATCCTTTTTCATACCAATGAAAAAATATAATATGCACATATTTCTGGAGGCATTTCACTGACACTACCTCACACCAATTCATGATAGTGAAATTATCACTGTTACAAGCACTGTCATTGCTGCTTTCACTATCACTACTGTTTTAATTGATTTTCATCATCATTTCTTTGACATTCTCTCCAACTATGCAATCAGTACACAAATATTTGTCATTTAATTTTTAGGCATGTGTGAGAATGACATTTCCAATTCAAAATGAGAATTTGGAAAAATTTCAAGAATTGAGATTGTTTTCCTGTAGTACAATGTCACAGCACATCAGCCATTTGTAGACTTCAAGAAAGCCTATGATTCAGTTATGAGGAAAGTATTGTACAATATTCTGATAGTTTGGGGTACCCACAAAACTACTTGGGCTGATTAAAATGTGTTTAAACAAAATGTATAGTAAAGTCCGTATAGGTAAACATTTGTCTAATAAACTTCCTATCCAGAATGGTCTGAAACAAGGTGATGCTTTATCGCCACTCCTTTTCAACTTTGCTTTAGAATATGCCATTAGGAAGGTCCAGGGAAACCAGGCGGGAATGAAATTAAATGGGACACATCAGCTCTTGGTCTATACTGATGATATGAATCTACTGGGTGATAATATAGATACCATAAAGAAAAACACACACTTTAATTGACACAAGTAAGGAGGTTGGTCTAGAAGCAAACACAGAAAACTAAGTATGTTATATGTTGCTCTCCTGACACCAAAATGCAGGGCAAAATCATGACATAAAGATAGGTAAAAGATGTTTTGAAAATGTGGCACAGTTCAGATATTGGGGAACAACGATAACAAATATAGCACGAATGGGAGAGAACAGGAATGCATATAGGATATTTGTGGGAAAGCCAGAAGGAAAGAGACCACTGGGAAGACCAAGGCTTAGGTGGGTGAACAATATTAAAACAGATATTAGAGATACAGGATGGGATGGTATAGAGTGGATTGATCTGGCTCAGGACAGGGACCAGTGGAGGACTCTTGTGAACATGGTAATGAACCTTTGGGTTCCATAAAATACTGGGAAATTCTTGAATAGCTGCAGAATTGGTGCTCCTCAAGAAGGGCATGAGTAAGTAAATAAGTAAGTAATTTATAATACTAGCCACTTTTTTAAAGTGGACAAAGTGATGGAAGGCAGCTCTAAATACAAGATGACCACACTTCAAAAACATAACTGCATATAAAAAGTAATTTTATGACTTAATTTCATAATCTCATTATAAACATGTGAAAGCATATAAATGCTATAACCATGTTACACATGAAATTAGGCCGTGCCATAGCTCAAGCGGTTAGTCACTGGCTTCCCACCGCAGCTGCCCAGGTTCGATACTGGGTCTGGTCAAGTGTGATTTGTGGTCGACAAAGTGGCGCTGGGGCTGGTTTTCTCCGAGTACTTTGGTTTCCTTTGCCAATTTTCATTCCACCAAATTCTCCATCATCATAATCACCCGGGGCAGGTTACAATAGGCCAATCAGTGGCCACCATGCTGAGTGAACCCAGTTGGACTCCCCCCACCCCACCACTAAGTGAATTAATTTTCTTTTTACACATGAAATTCATTGGGTTAATTTCCTTCTGATAGTCACTAGCCTTTACTCAGCTTTTTGAGTTTTGCTCTGTTCACCTATCACTCATTGAGCTTCAGTGTCTCCGCAATACCAATATCTGTTTCACATAAACTGCCAACATTCCCTTCATCTTCCATAATCTCCCTTCCATCCTTTCACCAAACATATGTGTATAGCACTTTTGAAATATTATCCCTATCACTTCCAAAGAGATCTGTTGTCATGGTTTTGAGCCACTGGCACATTAGTTCTACACTGTGCTTCTTTATTATCCTGCTGATGTCAGAACACAGTTCCCTACCAAATAAAACTGTTTTAAATGATTCTTACTAGGCTTCTTCACTAGAATGTGCAATTATGAAGTTACTGTTCCAGGCAATAGCAGAACCAACTGCATGAACTGCATAATGCACAAGCATTCCCTTTTTGAAACAACACTCTTGTCTCCAGCTCCAGGCAACTTGTAACGAGTCCCTCATCAATTCATTAGTCATCAGTCTGATACCTCAATATCAGTCCCATAAACAGCTGCACCTTAGGCATAATTTTTTTGGTTCAATATCACACATGGTAGTCTGTACAAAGGACATACGCCCAACTACTGAGAACATATATACAGAGGGGGCAAAACATTGACACCGCAGAGGGAAAATAATGGGGAACAGAGAGCGAGTTTCGTTCTTGAACAATGTATTTCAGTGTGAACAATGATGATACAAGAGCATGGAAATATATTGACTTAAGATCTAGTGCAGTGCAACAGTTCCTAAAAGTGAACAACTGCCTGAAGATGGCCAGGTAAGAATAAAACATGTATCAATTGATGAGATTTTAATGTTATTTTAAATTAAAGAGAGATCGTGATCATTTTTAAGCTGCATTAAAGACGAAGGTGAATGAGTGAGTGATGCACCAGTGCAACAGGATGCTCAAATATATTATATATGGTAGTAGTTCCACACTGTCACCTCAGTTAACTTACAATTACTAACATCTCTTCATTGCCAATACTTTTAGGACAATAAATCAATAAGAAAAGAAGTATATAAATTAATTAATTTCACCACACTTCTATACATACCTGAGCCATTCTTGATATTTCATGTTGCTTTTTGGGTTTCACATGTTTTGTGAACACATAATGTAGCTTGGGATGTTTAAGACATGGCATCCTCTCTGCATTCTGCCATTCTACCTGTGAAGACTTCCTGTTACTGCTCAAATAATGAGCAATTGAACTTGGTTGCTTTAATGCATTACTTCTGCTGTCTGTTTCACCACTCCACTGTCCCTTTGCATTCAGAAGATCTTTAAAGTGTGTCTGTTCACGTGGTACAGACAAATGCAGTGAAGCTACTTGCAGAGCCAGTAATGACAAGGGCCACACCCTCTGATGACTGTAAAAGGGGTCACAATTCTATTTCAATGTATGCCTAATTTAGGTTATTTAAAGCACAATGTAACTGAGACAGCACCGTTTAACTGCCTATTCTGAAAACCACATAAAACCTATAAATACACTGTGAGCAAACTTCAGAGTGTTCTTACGTTAAGAAATGCAGTACATACATATATCACTGCAATTTAAAAGGATAAATGAGACATTTCTCATGGCATTCATACATTTCAGGTTATATCTTTCGGTGTTTTACAACTAAGTCATACTTACATTTGTGTTATCAACATACAGCAAAACTTCCACTGTATGTGTACTTGGTTTAAGTTCATTAATACACTGAAATGGGATAAATGAGATAGACATTTTCTGTCTGGACTTAGAAAACTTGATCAACATGTCATTCATTGACTGATGGCTGGTGAGGATCCTATACTGATAAGCCTTCATTCACCAGCATCTGAACTGCAGTCATGGATACTGATTTGTAACACCAAAGACAGCACTGAGTTTTTTGCTTTTCCCTAAGGGAAAAATGGATAGGAAACAAAATTGCCATGATGTGTTTCTGCAAATTTATGAAGCTATTTCAGTGTCCAATCTGCTCGAGTTCATTAAATCTTGCTAACAAAAATAATTTGATTTCAAAAAGCTGTATACATTGGTAAATCAAACGATGGAGGGGACCTGAAACATGAAATTCTGATTCATAAATTCTTACCTTCTAAAAGTGTTATTATGGGTTAAAAACTTCCCAAGTTCTTGAGGATCGACATTGTCCAATGCTGTCCTCCAGCTGTGTGGAAGCTTATTCCAATGACAATCAGTGAAATAGTCCTAAAATAATAATAAACTGACATAGTATTATTCTCCATACTTTAAAAATTTGACTTTCTTACCTCTTCCAACAATGACGCTACAAATTGCATCAAAGAAATGCATACATGCTGTAATTTACATAAATGCAAAGTGCCAACTTTTCCAATCAGACTGAGTGAACTGCCAGACCACTAAAATTGCATGAATATTAAGTAAACATTTCATCCCCTCTATTCAATAGAGACTATAGTCTTGCTAGGAATCAACTACATATATTATGTATCTTCTAGTCCAAAGTGTTTTACTTAATACGTGTCACATCAAGGAAGCGCTAGACTCATGCACAACTATAAGCTCAAAACTATGCTTTCAGACATGTGCTGCCATGAAAAGAGAAATAATACAAGTCTCTCTTAGTACTGTTAGGTAGTGCAGTTGTATTTCTGCATTACACAATTTATAGCCCAGGACTTGCCACTGCAAATCCAACTTTCAATACAGAAAAGATCCTAGTGCAAGTAAGTCAACAGACATTTGTTCTATAATGGAATATACGAGGGTTGGAACTTTAATAGTAGCAACACTGCTGTAGAGACGCCATGCAACGGAACCAAATAATGTCGCTTATACCACATGTTAGTTACATATCCTACCTTACCTCAGAGCAAATGGACTCTCCCTTCCCACATCACGTGCATGCGCAGTGACGAGAAGAACAGAGCCTCTTATTAGCTGGCGGTCTAATGTAGTGCTGTCACGATGTTTACGAAACAGGAACAACGGAGTTGAATAAAGACTGAATGTGGCAGAGGCCGTTCAGCATGACAGTGTCATCAAGGTCTTCAAGAGGCTTGTGGGGAATCTGCATTTCCTTACAGAACAGTGGCAAGGCGGGTAAAAGCCTTCAATGAGGGACGCCAAAATGTGGCAGTATTGCGTTGGCCAGGTGGTCCTAGTGTCAGTGAAGAGGAACTGTATGCTCTTTCCATGTTACTGGAGAGTGTTCAACATCATACGATTCATCAGCTGGCCCGAGAGACAGGATTAGAGCATACAACTGTGTTTCACATTCTGAAGGAATGCCTGGGCATGAGAAAAACTGCATCACGATGGGTTCCGCATGATTTGACGGAAATGCAGAAATGGCTATGATACGACACTGCTCATAACCACTTGGAGCACTATGAGCGCGAAGGAGGGGCTTTCTTATGCCATATCATTATGCTGGATGAGACATGGGCCAAATCACACTCGTACGAGCCACAAATGAAATGCCAATCGAATGAATGGCATCATTATGGGTCACCACGAAAATCATAAGTTTGTCAGAACCCCAGCAATATGAAAGTTATGGTGATTTTCATGTACGACTGTGATGGTGTTATCCTAACGCATACCATTCCCCAACAGCAGACCATCAATGTGCAGTACTACTGTTCATTTTTGGAACACAACCTGCGACCTGCTTTGAGAAAGAAGCGGCGACACTTTCTGCAGAACCCACCCATCATTTTGCAGGACAATGCTCAGCCGCATGCAGTGCAAGCTGTGGTTGATTTGTTCGATCGATGGGGCTGGGAAGTGCTCTACCATCCACCATACTCCCCGGACTTAAGCACTTGCGACTTCGACTTGATTCCTACGATGAAGGAACCGCTTCGTGGCATTTGCTTCAGAACTGTTCCAGAGATTCTTCAGGCAGTAGAAAGCTCCATTCAAACTATCAACACAACAGGCGCTGCTAAACATATCCTACAACTTCCAAATCGCTGGCAACGGGTTGTACACAATGCTGGTGACTACACTGAAGGACAGTAAAACTTTGAAATATGCATCTATTTTGTATCAGTTTTAAATAAATAGTTGCCACTATTAAAGTTCCAACCCTCGTATGTATACTATTAACATTTCTTTAAATCTGGCTTTTGAAACATGTCTAAAAAAGTACATTAAATAATTCAAATCATGGAGATTCAATAATCCGTGTCACAAGGTTCACTATTATAGAGTTTTATATCATCAATCATTAACATCTACATGTACACTATGTTCACAGCTATGACAAGTTTCTCTTGGGGTAGGGGAACAGGATTTCAGAGTTCTACGTCTGAGTTTCTGAAATGTTACTGATCTCTAACCGTATAATATAGCCCTTGTCAAACCAGATAAATTAATATGCAGTTCCACTACTGCAATAAAACCATGCACCTACTGCACACAGTGGCTGCAAATCAAATGGAATCACTGCTACACCACCATATGAGGGGGTACCCAAAAGAAACCGAACTTATTTTTTTTAAACTTATTTATTCAAATTTTAAGCACAAACCTTCAATCAATCCCCTTCAAAGTACTCTCCACTTACACTAATACACTTGTCTAGTCTTTTATTCCATTTTTCAAAACATTGTCTAAATTCATCTTTTGAGATGCTTGACAGCACCTCCGTCATTTTTTCCTTCACCTCAGCAACATCAGCAAAACGCTTTCCTTTCATGTCTCTTTTCAGTCGAGGAAACAAAAAAAAAAGTCACATGGGGCAAGGTCAGGTGAGGAACAGGGGTCATACCATTTTTGGTCAAGAACTGTCGTACAGACAGGGCTGTGTGAGCAGGGGCATTGTCATGATGGAAAAACCAGTCACCCGACTGCTACAAATCTGGCCACTTCTGCCGCAAACTGTTGCGCAATCTTTTCAAAACTTCCAAGTAGAAAGCCTGGTTAACTGTCTGACCCTGCGGAACAAACTCTGAATGGACGACTCCTCTCACATCGAAAAAACAAATCAGCATTGTTTTCATGTTTGATTTCACCTGACGAGCTTTCTTGGGGCGAGGCGAACTTGAAATCTTCCACTGGCTTGATTGTTGCTTTGATTCAGGATCGTAAGCATAGCACCAGGTTTCGTCACCGGTGATAATTTTTGAAAAAAAGTTTTGATCATTTCGGGACTCTTCTTTCAAAGCACAGCATGCTTCCACGCGACCTTGTTTTTGTTCAGCAGTCAGCAGTCGTGGCACGAATTTCGCAGCCACCCTTTTCATTCCCAAATCTTCTGTCAAAATTCGCTGAACTGAGCTCCAAGTCACTCCCGACAGCTCCACAATTTCTTCAATGGTCCGTCGTCGATCTTCCTTGATGATTTCACGAATTTTTTCAACATTTTCATGTGTTCGGGCCGTGGAAGGACGACCAGAACGAGGTTTGTCATCAATTGACATTTCACCATTTTTGAAACGGGAAAACCACTCAAACACTTGAGTTTTTCCCATAGCATCATCCTTGTACGCCGTTTTTAACATTTCAAGAGTTTCTGTTCCACTTTTCCCGAGCAAAAAGCAGAATTTCACTGCCGCACGCTGTTCACAAAAATCAGCCATTGCAAAAACGACGATAACACAACAGTTACAGTTGTCACTATAAACTCTGCCGAAACTAGTCCTTGCCTTCTGAAGCAACGGTAGTCGGCTTATCGACTCAGGAATGTTAGCTCTATGCGCTCATAGCGGCAAAACGCGGTACTACAAAAGCTCTGCCCACAAAAAATTAGTTCGGTTTCTTTTGGGCACCCCATCGTACATTTGCCTGAATTTGTTACTGCAGCCACTGCATTATGTCCCTTGACTCCATAACTCCTCTTTTTTCTGTCAATTGCATCAGATACAGCAGCAAGTTGTATTTGTATAAGTATGTTTGGGCAGTGGTTGACCCCAGGAGTGCTCGGAGTTCATCGTCTGTGATGCGGCAAGTGTGTCATAAGGTGGTGGTGCAGTGACGGACTCGATGCGAGAGAGGGCGTCGGCGACAACGTTGCCTGTCCAGAGATGTGTTGGATGTCGGTTGTGAACTGGGAGATGAAGTCTAGATGGTTGAACTGCCGAGGTGAGCATTTATCCCGCTTCTGCTGGAAGGCGTAGGTGACTGAAGGCCTTGTGGTCGGTGAAGAAGGTGAAGTGACGCGCTTCCAACATATGGCGGAAATGCTTGACTGCTTTGTAGATAGCCAGTAGCTCGCAGTCGTAAGCGCTGTACTTCTGTTGGGCCAGGATAACTTTCTTTGAGAAGAAGGTGAGGGGCTGCCAGGTGTTCCTTATGGGTTGTTGTAGCATGGCACCCATGGTGGACGTGGAGGCATCTGTGACAAGTGCAAGTGGCATGGATGGATCCGGATGGGCCAGTAGAGTGGCGCAGGACAAATTCGCCTTGCACTCTTCAAATGCTTGGTGGAGCTCCGGTGTCCAAGTGATGGGGTGGGAGCCCTTGACTTTCGGTCCGGAGAGGACGCCGTGCAGTGGTGCTTGCATGTGGCAGAAATCGCCTGTAGAAGTTCAGCATGCCTAGGAATCGTCGGAGCTGACTGACGGTCTTCGGAGGGGGACAGTCCTGGAGATGGGCCACTCGGTCTTCCTGAGGTTTGGAACCCTCGGCAGACACCTTGTAGCCGAAGATGCACTTTGATGGGTTGATAATGATCCCGTACCTCTGGAGTTTGGTGAAGAGAGCACGTTGGTGTTGTTCGTGCTCTTCGAGTGAGCGGGAGAAGACAAGGATGTCGTCTAAGTACGTGAAGCAGAATTCGAGTCCCTGTAGAATGTCGTCCATGAAGCGCTGGAAGGTCTGGGCGGCGTTGCGCAGGCCGAAGGACATCAATGGGAATTCGAAAGGGCCGATTGGAATGGTGATGGTGGTCTTCTGTATGTCTTCAGGGTGGGCAGGGATTTGGTTGTAGGCTCTCACCAGGTCAATTTTGGAAAAGACGGAACAGCCGAAAAGCTGGTGGGAGTAGTCGTGGATATGGCAGAGAGGGTAACAGTCAGCGATGGTTCGGGAGTTAAGCGCCCTGTAACCGCCGCATGCACACCAACCGTTATCTTTCTTGGGCACGATGTGCAGTGCTGAGGACCACGAACTCTCTGAGCGGCGAGGTGTACCATCCCGCAACAAGGCGTCGAACTCGGCTTTTGCGATAGCGAACCAGTCTGGTGCCAGTCGCCGTGGTCGGCAGGTTACTGGTGGGCCAGGTACAGTCCTGATGTGGTGAACGGTGTTGTGTCGTATCTCGTGCTGGATTCCGACTGGGCGGGTCAGGTTCAGAAACTCTGTGAGGAGGTTGTCGACCAGTGTGTCGTTGCTGATGGTCTTTACACTGGGGATCAGTGCGTCGGCCACTGAGGCCGGGGCTGACAGCGTCGTGACCCCGTCCAGAACGTGGTTGTTCTTACAGTCCACCAGGAGACCGAAATGCGATAGGAAGTCCGCGCTGATGATGGGATGCGTGAAGTCGGCCACCACGAACCGCCACATGGTTCGGCGTATGCCCAAGTTGAGGCCGAGAGGCAGCCATCCGTATGTGTGGATGGTAGTGCCGTTAGTAGCACACAGGTCATAGTTGGTACGTTCCTTACGTCGAGGGATGAGCTTGCGGGGGAACACACAGAAGTCCGAACCCGTGTCGAGCAGGAACTGCCATCTGCTGACTTTGTCCGTTATGAAGAGGCAGCCTGTTGTCGTAGCGCAGACATGTGCCGCCAGTAATGCCAGCTGCGTCAGTTTCCCTGCTGGCGGTAGGAGCAGGGCGGAGTACAATTTTGGGCCTGAGCGCCGAAGCGGCGTTGGTACCAGCAGGTAGTGGATGTGGTGTCGCCACAGGAGGGGGATCTGCTGACCGGCCGGCGGCTCTTGAAGGCAGGACGTGAATCCTTGGATCTGGGACCTCGGTCTCTCAGGTTGGGGTCGAGCTCCTTGAAGCAGTCGTGGAGGCGGTCCTGTCCTGTCCTGTGAGTGCTGCCACTTGGCGGGAGAGGTCAGCGATCTCCTGCCAAAGTGCGGCGTTGTCCGTGGGTTGACCTACGCTACCGAGTGCCGGCTGGATTTCGACCTCGGAGACACGGTCTGCACAGAGGGCTGCAGCCTCGAAGTTGCTCTCGTTCTGGCCGGTGAGGAAGCTCTGTATGTTGCGGGGTAGCAGGCTGGTCCAGACGCTTTGGATGACGTTATCAGACACGTCTGGTGCAAGACTCTTGAGGTATCTCAGGAACTGGGATGGCTTATAGTTGCCAATTTCCTAGACCGTGAGGAGCTGCCAGATGCAGTGCTCTGTCGATGGGGATAGCAGCCTCAAAAGCTCGGTCCTCAGTAGGGTGTAGGGGTCTCATTCAGCTTTAAAATCAATTAATTCTATAGCTAACAGATCGTCTAATAGCATAAGACGAACGCCCGTAACAAGAAATTGGAATTTTTTTATGGTGACTCAATCTCCTGGGTCAGTTAGTGATCTTAGGAGTAATGGTTTAGGTAATTTTAACAATACTCATAGACGCAGTGCTAAATTTGATCATAATCATTCAAAATTAAATTCTCTGAGCTATGACAGTAATAGACATAAATTTTATTCTTCTGGTGATAATTATCTTACTATATAGCACCAAAATATCAGGGGCTTACAAGGCAAAACCAATGAATTAATTAGCTCCCTACGTCCTGAGCTGCCGCATGTGTTATGTCTAACTGAAAACCACTTAAATTATAATGAACTGGGCTGTACTTATATAGAACATTATAAATTCAGTGCTGCTTACTGTAGGAAAACTTTTAAATTAAGTGGATTATGCATATTTGTACAGGAAAAACTAAAATTTTTAGATGTCACTTTAAGTGCCTTTTGTAAAGATAAAGACCTCAAAGTTTGTGCAGTGAAACTTCCTTTTTTGCATGGTAATATTTGTGTTCTATCTATTTACAGAGCACCATCCAGTAACTTTGCTTATTTTCTGAAGGGATTAGACGCCATTTTAAATTTCTTGCACGATACTAAATTGGAATTGATAATAAGTGGTGATATCAATATAAATTACTTAACTGATAGTAATAACAAGAAACAATTGGATGTTCTATTATCTTCCTTTAACCTTTCTAGTATAGTAGATTTTCCTACTAGGATCCAAACCAACTCAAGCTCTGATATCGATAATATTTTTATTGATCTTCACAGACATGGAAATTATACTATATGTCCTCATGTTAATGGATGGTCTGATCATGATGACCAGATCTTATATATGAATAACATTGTTTTACATAACCGAAACAGCTGTAGGCATTATGCGAGGAAATTCAATAGAGCTTCTAGAAATGAGTTCTTGATTCAATTAAGTTTTGAAACTTGTATTTGTTGATCAGGATATTGATTCAATTTTCAACTCATTTCTTAGTACTTATTTAAAAATATTTAATTCTAGCTTTCCTAAAAAATATATATTTATATAAGTTATGAATAATATGAAATATAACCCTTGGATGACGAGGGGCATAAGGACCTCATGTCAACATAAAAGAGAGCTCTATTTGTCCATGAAGACCAGTAATGATCCAAACCTTAAATCCTACTTTAAAACCTACTCTAGAATTCTGTCTATTCTCATTAGGACAGCTGAAAATCATTATTATAACGGATTAATTTCAAATTCTAACAATAAAATTAAAACCACATGGAATATTATTAAAACAGTTACTGGTAAGAGAATCAATAATACTGAAGGGCAGTTCTGATAGGGCTAACTGATAGTCACCAATTAATTGCCAGTTCTTTAAATAAATACTTTCTGACTATAGTAGATAAAATTAACAACAATAACACTAAGAGTGATAATTTTAAAGAGTCTGATATTGATAAACATTGGAGTTATTTATCCCTGGCTTTTGTGACTCCTTTCCCTGAAATTAAACTTAAACCTACATCTACTAAAGAAATTGAAAACATAATTAAGTCAATAAAACCCAAAAATTCTAATGGGTATGATGAAATTTCGGTTAATATTTTAAAAACTAGCGCATCTGCTATTACTTCTCCTTTAACTTATATCTGTAACAGAGCACTTTCAACAAATGTTTTCCCCACTCGTTTGAAATACTCTGAAATAATACCATTATTTAAAAATGGTGATAAAACAAATACGATGAATTATGGTTTGTTGAAGTGTGTTTGCCTGATGATGGCCACTAGTGGCCGAAACATGTAGCAGAACTATATATGGGCATTGTCCTTGAAGTTCTTTTATTGTTGTGTTGTGACGGTCAAATACATAAGTTGTATATATGAATTATGGACCTATATCGTTACTTACAACCTTTTCAAAAGTTATTGAAAAGGTTATGTTTGTATATGTTCAATTATAAAGCAGTCCATAAATTCTTAATTTCTGCAAAGTTTCCAAATTGTATGGGTTAACATTAACCCATTGACTGTATGTAGGTTACTGAATGACCCTGGCAGTATATTTACTAGATTCAGCCTAGATGGTGTCAGATCATAGGATGGCTGATGAATCGGATAGGGTTTGGAAGAAGATATAAAAATGTATACAAAAGTATGTAGTCTACACAACAATTGCAAATGTTAGATGCAATTCAGCAACTGAGTCTGTTATCATTGTACACCTGATGATGACCCAGTATAAGGGTCGAAACATGTAATGTCAATNTTCTTTTATTGTTGTGTTGTGACGGTCAAATACATAAGTTGTATATATGAATTATGGACCTATATCGTTACTTACAACCTTTTCAAAAGTTATTGAAAAGGTTATGTTTGTATATGTTCAATTATAAAGCAGTCCATAAATTCTTAATTTCTGCAAAGTTTCCAAATTGTATGGGTTAACATTAACCCATTGACTGTATGTAGGTTACTGAATGACCCTGGCAGTATATTTACTAGATTCAGCCTAGATGGTGTCAGATCATAGGATGGCTGATGAATCGGATAGGGTTTGGAAGAAGATATAAAAATGTATACAAAAGTATGTAGTCTACACAACAATTGCAAATGTTAGATGCAATTCAGCAACTGAGTCTGTTATCATTGTATACCTGATGATGACCCAGTATAAGGGTCGAAACATGTAGTGTCAATAAAACAGATGTTGATAAGATAGTGTCTACTTTGTTTTAAATACAGAATATTGTTGTGTATACTGCATACCGAGCACCACCCGAATACGAGTACTGAGGATTACCACTACGCCAACACATTCGGTCATTACCCCTATGGAATACTTCCCGATCCTCCTTGAATTTTTGTTGCAATAACACAACACGACTGTCTACGGCCAGGAAATAGGATATTTACTGAATACCTAATCACAACACTTACCAAAACATATGAATCCAATAGCCACATGTACATTTCTAGCACCTTAAAGCCATTATTCACAGTTAGTACTAAATTTCCTGGCATATTCCACATGTTCGTAACAAATTATAGAAACTATGCGTATGAATTTCATTAGTAAACAATTACTGGTAATATTAAAAGCCTCACGTGTCAATGTAATACCTAAAAATAAAAATGTAATTCCCTCTAAACAAGTAACAGCAGCCGCATAGAAAATACACTTAACGAAACCACTTTGTATTATAACCGAACATTCACCAACGTTCACCAACGACACACAAATTGGCATTCTAACCCGTTCTAACCGTTCTAACCTATCACGCCCATCACAATATCACACCGTTCACAGAACTTTACTATGCTTCGTTACCGTTCGTTACTGCCGGTTACTAACGCTACTAACGGTAGTCGCCCTCGGTCACCGTAGCCACGGATCATTCTACTGGCATGTAATGCTGTGAAATTACATTATCACTAACTTTACAACCATATTACTTTGTAGTCTGAACTTATTTGATGACCCGCTTAATTTATCTTCTGTATCTGGGCAATTTTCCCATTTTGTCAGACGATGGCTGGAGCTGTGCGCATGAGCCGTAAAAAGTGATGAGTTGCAAAGTGAAGTATGTTGCAAGTTATTGCTTGTATGATTGTAAACAGCGCAGTTAAATCGTTGGACTAATTTGGAGACGAGCATTAGTTTATAATCGACCTTACAAGGGAGAGCTTTCCTGGAATAGCTGAATTATTCATTAATCCGTGGAATATTACTAGTAAATTCGTGTTCAATTAAAGCTGTTTAATTCGTTGGGCGTGACATTTACAAGAAACGGTTGTTGAAGAAGTAAACTGAAAAAGAGAAAAAAACGTACACGTTAGATCCATAACCGTACAAGACAAACGTCAGATCAGGTAACTTAGTATGAAAACAAGATATTACATACGAGGGAGAGTCGGTAAATAGGTCGGAAATGGATATAAAACGTGAAACACATGATATTCGAACCCGGAAAGAACATGTATTTTTCGACATATCCATCACCAATATTGACACACTTGTTCCAGCCACTTCTGCACCCGGTCGGGTGTCAGGTGTGAACAGCTTTACGCAACAAATACTTCCCGCCGTAAACAGGAAACATTTCTTTATGAATATCTGTTGCATTGAGTTCTTTTGCCCACAGAGAAACGCACAGTAGAATGCTGCTTTTCTTTGGTACACTCCTGAAGCATGGTCGCCATTTTGACTACTGAAACCAGCCTCTGAACATGCACATGCGCGTCTCCTACATAGACTGTCATGAAGCTGGACTGTGCTGCTACCTAGTGATACACATAGCCTATTACATCCATTACAGATGTTTTACTTACATTTATAATCTATTTACTGACTTTCCCTAATACTAAAATGACCTGGCTTGATAAAGTGCCTTCCAGTGACATGGATGAGATCAGCCCCTACCCCCTTCTTGACATTTGAATTGTTAAAATATTTTGCACAGTGAAAGTAAAACAAAAAACTCTTATAGTGCAGCAAAACCTATACGTTTTGCATAAATTACTGTCGGGGGTCAGGCCAAAATGTTCATGTGCCCTAAAATGTTATGAGTGGCTTGCCAGATGAAAGCACCAATTAAAAGCTTTCAACTGGTGCAAGAATGGCCCTCTGGCTTAATTAGGACCAGAATTATATGCATTTTAGTGAAACAGATTGTGGAAAAGTTAAGGAAGACTTAAAACTTCAAAAGTACAGTAACATTAATTGATATGAAAGAAAAACTCCATTTGTCACTTAACTCATCAGTTTACAATCTTTCGTTGAAATCCAAGGTGGCCATGTAAACTGCTGTGTTGATTGGGATGACCCTATTATTGATTGCAGTAGATTACAAAGTACAAAAATGAGAGTTGCTTTTAGTGACATAATCTTTATATAAACTAAGATAAGGAGTGTGAGATTGGAGGTTCTGATGGTGGTGACTATGAAGAGTAATCTATTCTTGGATGTGATGACATATTGTGTGGCTGGACTTATTAAAGGATGCTGTTATTACACAGCCTATCTCAATGAAGAATTCTTCAATATCAGCTACTAATAAGTGAATACATAGAATATGTTGTATTTATAATCATTACTGTATTTCAATAATTGTATAATGTGAGTGACATGTCCTAACTCAATGTAATTGATCTACAGGACGACTAGAAACAAACAAATAAACAGAAGTTTACTAACAATTTCAAAGGAATGTACTGCCTTCAAAAGGTTTATGAACTTGTACCATACTGCATAATGTCAGATGCCATAATAGGGAAAGCAAGCTAAAAGGGCACTGTATTATTATTTATGTTGTGTATATGTCACCACTGGAAACATGGGAAGAATAAAAACTTATGGTTTCTTTTTCAGCAATGGCATTTGGTGGGAAGGTAGTATTAATTACAGGAGCGAGTTCTGGAATTGGTGCAGCTACTGCAGTGCATTTCTCTCAATTGGGAGCTAGTCTGTCACTTACTGGTCGTAATACTGAAAACTTGAATAAAGTTGCAGATCAGTGTACTGTATTGGAAGATCAGCCAAAGCCATTTCTTGTTACTGGTGAACTGACAAATGAAGCAGACACAAAAAGAATTTTGGACTCAACTGTTAAACACTTTGGTAAGCTTGATGTTCTCATCAATAATGCAGGAATCTTGGAAGCTGGAGGAATTGAGTCTACATCAGTGGAACAGTATGACAGGCTGTTCAACATTAATGTCAGGTCTGTGTACCATTTAACAATGTTGGCAGTTCCATACTTAATAGAGACCAAAGGAAATATTGTAAATGTGTCTAGTGTGAATGGAATGAGGTCTTTCCCAGGGGTTTTGTCATATTGCATGTCAAAAGCTGCTTTAGATCAATTCACTCGCTGTGTTGCTTTAGATCTGGCTCCCAAGAAAGTGCGTGTTAACAGTGTAAATCCAGGAGTTGTAGTAACTGAACTCCAGAAACGTGGAGGAATGGATTTGGAAGCTTATGAGAAGTTTCTGGAACGTAGTAAGCAGACACATGCATTGGGTCGCCCAGGACAACCAGATGAAGTGGCTCGAGCAATTGCATTTTTGGCCAGTGATGATGCAAGTTTCATTACAGGAGAAACCTTGCCAGTGGATGGGGGGCGACATGCCATGTGTCCTCGTTGAAGTAATACTTATATCATGTTATATAATGAATTATATGTAGGTAAAAAATAAGCCGTGGGTTTGATAATTTGTTGGGATAATATTTAAGTTTTATTATATAAATGTATGGCCATGAATATGAAATTATAATCCATATTGTAGAATAAATTGTGATTTAATTACTGTATGACATAGAAAGTTAAATAAATAAACATACATGCCTTTCTTATATGATATGGTAAAGCACTTGGATAATTATCATCATGATTCATTGATATTCCACTTTCATGAGACATCACTTTGCAAATAGAGTTATACTCATACTTCAGGGATGATTAAATTGTCTGAAAGCTTAGCTGTCTCATAAAATGCCAAATATGACACTGAAGAAAATTGTCTGAATTCGGTTGGAGGGAAGGTATTTTATGAAAAATGAAGGAAGAATTTATATAAAAAGTAAGTGATCTACATTTTAGCTTTCTAGGCATACAACAAAATCTTGTAAAACATTTTCCTCCAATATGAAGAAAAATAACATATTAAGGATGCACACAATTTCTGAAATGACTTTGCAGGTTCAGGGTTGTATCTCAGGGCCAGCAGTATTTTAGGCTTCTTATTGATCAGTGGTTTTATACTTCACACAGTTTCAGTAATTCCACTGGTTCTTTGGTGACTGTAAATTCAGACCAGTAAAATAGGATTTTGCAAGATGCTGTATTCCCCCAAACAGTGGTTTCAGAGACTTAGAATAATGTTAATAGTTCCCACATTCACATAAAATTGTCAACAGATATTTCCTTTAATGAAGTTGAACAAATCAGATTTAAGAGTGTGGATGATAGATGAACACATGACTGAAGTTTGTGCTTGTGGTGTCTGCGATCAGTCTTACCTTTCCCCCATGTCTCGCTTCTCACGGTGATTACTCTCCAACTGCTCCTGCTACTCCCTCCTTAAGGCCGCTCACCCCAAGCAGTTCCCTGATAAGGTACCAGTTAGTCCAGGTGTACCATCATCACCCTTTCCACATCATGACATGCAAGATAATGTAAATAATAAAGATACTTCTTTCAGTTGGTGTGGGCAAATTTACCTAAAGTGGCCAGTGTTCCTACATCTCTGGCTCCTGCTCTGTGTGCAGTCTCTTCTTTTGTTTTGGAGGGGACCACAATGTCCTGACACTCATTTTCTGCAGTCTAATGGCAGCCCCGACTGTTTGCTTCATGAACTCCAGCTCTATGGACCAACTGAAGGTCTTACTGAATGTTCTGCTGCTTTCCAGACCTAATTCCTCTTTTAGGCCTCATTTCCTTATGCCATTGTTGCATCTCTTCCTGAAAGGCAGTCTGAATGACCTCAGACTTCTCATTATTGGCATCTGTCCTGGCTTCCATCTTTTCTTGACTGGTGTCTATCTTGTCATCCATCTTTTTTTTTTGCGAGAGACCACCTTGGCTGTTATCTGTGCTATCATTGCTATCAGACATTCAAAATCTGTCATAATTATCTGTCACAGGTGTTCCAACTCAATGATGCACAGTTCATTAAGTTCAACAATTCAGTTAGTTGCCATATGATTGTGATTCTAATCCAACTACCTCTGACAACAGTTGTCACTTAGTATGTGTGACTATAGGCGGTGTTTGAATTAGTGACCTGATTTATTGACCACTTATACCCTAATGACTCATGACTACAGTTCACAGATCACTGACACACACAGACTAGTGTCCTTGGTCTATTACAGTCTCAACGAGCCATTTCCTGTTAACAGATTTTAACAGGAACTATAACGGTCTCCCTGAATTACATGCATAAGTCTTCTCTTCACAGCCAGACTTTGATCTGAGCACTCTTGCAACTAACTCACAGCCATTACACACCAACATGCTAGTCTTCTTTTCACTGCCCATCAACTGACTAAGCTTAGAGTTAGAGTTACTTTACGACGGACGGTTTACTGCCAATCGTTTTTTTTTTTTCCAAATAGACACTTGCAGTCATAGTCCTTATGTAACATCCTCTCTGACAAGAGGATGGGTATGTTGTTTACAATTGCTGATAGCCCTTGCCAGCAGTCATTCTCAGGTCCAAGTTCCATGAGACTCATGACCACATTTTACTCTCAGATTCGAAACTCCCCAAACGTGGAGAGCCAGGTCCCCATATTTATATCCCCCAAGAACAGGGTGGCCCAGTCATACCCCAGGCACTGGGTTCCCTTTTTGTCACCTACAACTCGCAGGGTTACAGTGGAGGCATTCTACCCCACAACCACATCAGCTGACTAAGCTCCAAACCTCTTGCTTATAACGTCTTGGCATGAACCACTTAGAAAACACAGTTCTATTGTTGCGTGCATTAGTATTGGCCACTGTTTACAGAGTCACTGCTTAGCAAGATGTCTATATGCCACATGATCTGGTAGCTATCCTTATGTTATAATTTTGACCTGCATTTGGGTGATGAAACAGCATATTTTGGCATGTCTGCTGACTTCCAGAATAGTTATCAAAGAAGATGCCCCTTGCTAGGTTAAGGCACTGTAAACATGTGATGACAGAATTTAACAGAGATCTGTTGCTATGCAGTGGCTGATTAGCAGCACGTGACCGTGGCAACTGTTATGCATGCAGAAATAGAGGAATTGTTGGAAGCAGTGTTCTCTGTTGGGTCCATTTAGAGGCTATATAATAAGAGCCAGTTGGCAGTCTTAAGTCAGCACTAGCCAGTGGAGGCCAGATGAAGGGAGGAACATAGACTGAGGGTGTTTGAGAACAGGGTGTTGAGGAGAATATTTGGACTGAAGAGAGATTAAGTGACAGGAGGTTGGAGAAAACTGCATAATGTGGAGCTTCATAACTTGTTCTCTTCTCCAAGGATAATTAGAATGATCAAGTGAAGGAGGATGAGGTGGGTAGGTCATGTAGCACGAATGGGTGAGACAAGGAATGTGTATAGGATATTGGTGGGAAAGCCAGAAGGAAAGAGACCACAGGGAAGACCAAGGTGTAGGTGGGTGGACAATATTAGAATGGATCTTAAGAGAGATAGGCTGGGATGGTATGGATTGGATAGATCTGGCTCAGGATAGGGACCGGTGGAGGGCTCTTGTGAACACGGTAATGAACCTTCAGGTTCCATAAAATGCTGGGGAATTCTTGGGTAGCTGCAGAATTGGTGGCTCCTCCAGAAGGGCTCAGCTCCATTAGTAAGTAAATAAGAGGAGAGATCGAAGATGATCCACATCCTGGTCAGCCTTTTGTGTCAAAAACAGATGCTACCATTGAAAAAGTTGAACTTGTTCGCAAAAATCGTTGACTGAGCATTTGAGCAGTTGCTGAGTTACCTAACACTGAAAAAGAAAGCGTTCAACAGATTTTACATGAACATTTTAACATGAAAAAAGTGTGCTCAAAGATGGTGCCATGAATCCTCACTCCTGAGCAAAAGGAAACTCGAATGAACATTTGTGCTGACATCTTGCAAACATTGAAAATGATCTGAACTGTTTAGGAAATGTACATAATAACTTATGATGAATCACTGTTTCTTCAGTATGACACAGAAACCAAGTGCCAATCCATGCACTGGAAGTCTCAGGTCACCAAGAAAAAAAAAAAAAGCACAGAAGAGCAAGTCAAATTTGAAAGCAATGATCATTTTTTTCAGTAGCCAAGGGACTGTTCACATTGATTGGGTGCCTGAAGATAGACTAGCTCTACTATGAGGTTTTGACAATATTTCGTGAATGGGTGAGAAGAAAAACACCTGAAATGTGGATCAAGGGCTCATGGGTTCTTCACCATGACAACATGCCAGCACACAATGCACTATCTGTCAAGGCATTTTTAGTGAAGCCCGAGATTCCTGTGTTGGAACATCCACCCTACTCACCTGACCTAGCCCCATGTGACTTTTTTTTTTATTTCCAAAGATCAAGTCTGCATTAACAGGAACCCATTTTGAGTCTGTAGATGCAGTGAAGGCAAAGGTGACGGAGGTAATAAAGAAACTATTAGAAAAGGACCTGCAGCATTGCTTCCAAAAGTGGAAAAATCACATGGAGCTGTCTAGGGGTCAGGGAGGGGACCACTTTGATGCTGATAACATTTCCATTGTGTGATCAGTTGAACAACAGATTTTATAGCACCAGTCCGGTTATTTTATACCTACTCCATGTATCTCATTTTCACAAATTATGGACATGTGCTGTTTTTCCCAGCAGCAACCCAATTCTTCCAGCCATGCAAAATACTGTGTAAATCTGCAAGCAGATTGACATTCTTACCTGGTACCAAGTTAATTCTTAGTTCATAAATCTTAAATTAATTTAAGACTCTAGAAAGGTCTGTGATCTTGTTCTTACAGCTTGTTTCAAGCACTTCAATTCTTCCAGAAGTTCCCTCTTTTTGTTCCTGATATGTCTGCTCACTTAAGTGTTTTAAATTATCAAGATTATCTGTAATTTGGATTGTTCCCTTTGATGTAATAATTTTGAACATTCATCATCACACCATGGATTTTGCTGCTTCAGTTTGGAGTAACCTGACTACTTAGCTGGCATTTGAGCCATCCAAAGCTTCAAACTTGTGTAAAATTTTAAACGATACTGTTCTTTACATTTCACCTTTTTCAGCTTCATGAGATTGAACTTCATTATCAAATTTTGAATTGCTTGTTACATACTGACAGTCTCACCCTAACTTTTGCACTATCATCTATTACATTAATTTTGGGAGTACTGATGATAAATCATTTCTGTCCCAGCAAAACACATGTAATGTTTCATTCAGCCCTTCACTGTCTAACCTTGTTCTAAGCCTATATATAAAAAAAACTCTGTGGCTTGAGTCCATAAGCAAACTATACCAACCAAGCGACCACCACTTGTCGGTGAAGTTAGTGCCAACTTTAGCAGATAGAGAGTGTCGTGTGGTCAGTGCAACAAATCCCATGGCCGTTAATTTTGGCTTTCTAGACCAGAGCCGCTATTTCCTTGAAAGAGCTCTTCACTTATCTTCACAAAGCTGAGTGGACCCTGTTCCAGACCCACTACTACTCAGAAAATCTGGTAGTGCCAGGAATTGAACCTCAACTTCTGGATCTGTAACCAGAAACTATGACCACTAGAACACAGAGGCAGTTAAGCCTATAACTTTGCTTCTAAATGAATGTGTAATTATTAAAACTTCAGTATCTGGACAATTTAGCCATAATTTTTAGTTCGTGCTGTCTGTCTATTAAATATAGAAAATCCTGCTACCTGTGCTGTTAACCTCTATTGGCCCTGCATTGCATTCTAGCACCTGTATCAGCATGGAGTACAGCTGGCTAGGTTTTGTGTTCTTTCAATATTAATACTGTTCCCCCCCCCCCAAGTTAAAATCTGGCTGTCCCCTGCTGCCAACCCCATTGTACTGGGGGATTTCAGCTTCCTGAAATAACAGTGTGCACTAGTCACTGCCTTTTAACCTTAACTTTCACAGTTCACTGTTCAGCATAAGTTGCTATAAGAAAATGTCATCCCTCCACATTAGCAAAGTCAGTAGTTTCATTTTGTGCTCTGAATCACTTCCCAGCAATGCGTAACCATATTTTTTCTTAAAAATGTTTTCCATAGTGTATCTTCAAGATCTCCTCAGCACCTAATCTGTAGTCTGCCTCCATCCAAACCTAAGTTTTGTATAGGCAATATCTCATTACCATCTTTTAATTTTGTATCCTCCATGCAACCATGCCTCCGAAGAGAATGGTGATGTAAGCAATATATGGACATGCAATAGCTGTGAAGTGATGACCATATTTAGGAACTCAAGAACATACAATATGCAAATACAGAGGTACCTGTATAAATCAGACCAGAAGTTATTTTTATTACATTTACTATAAATACAGAAGATTTAAATTCCATAATACATGAAAAAAAAACAAAGTTTTTAAAATTTAATCAAATGTTCATTTTTCATAGTCATTAATAAATTATACTGACTATGAATACAGAAGATTTAAATTCCATAACACAGTAAAAACAAACTTAACCCTTTAAAATGTAACCATCTGTTCATTTTTCATAGTCCTTAATAATGAGTTAAAGGGATCTGCAATAAATTTATGTAGTATCACATTATGATGGTAGCTACACATTTATATTTAATGGTCACTGAGTAATCTTACAAGCATATTGTGTTACACCTTGTAATGGTTTAAAAGAACTAACAGGATCACTGGTATTCAACCCTAACAGTTCCCAAGTCAAACTAAAATATTCTATATGTAGGCATATTAAGATTCTAGATTTGCCTTTTCTAGAAGAGATTTATATAAATATCCTTATGTAAAGAGGTACGTCATTAAGCACCATGTCTTCAAGTTTGGGGGAGTAGCTCTATGCAATGTTTGGGAAACAATTACTGCAATGCTCACACCAAAGATGCTTAATATATCATATATATATTTATAATGCTGTATGAGATGCACGTAACATTTTAAACATTTTTAAGATATCCATAACCTTTCACATCTAATTATTAAACTATAATAATAGAAACAATAATGATTAATGTACTCATAAGTACATATATATATGGAAGCTACTGGTCTCCTATGGCTTCTTAACAGGCTGCAACACATCCAAGGCTTTTTCAATATTGCCATTCTTGCTTTCAAGCAGTTGGGTCAACCAACCACCCTCATTGCTAAATCCCATGGACATCATCTTGTCTACTGCTTCAGCAATGTGTGGTCCTATGAACAAAATTATTTACTATCAACTGCATGTTATATGATATGGATCATCTTTAGTACTCAAACCCAACCAACAAAAACCACATGATATGCACTGCATCGAAGGTTGAGAGTACAAACACTTCAATATACTTTTATTTTTAATTCCATCTGGCCATGTCAAGTGTCAGGAAGTTAAATGCTGGATTCCTAATGCACAGCCTTGCATTTTATGTCAGGTGATTTCATACAAGATTTGTAGTGTATGAAGTGGTATTGGAAAGGGGTGTATCTGAGTTTCTTCAGTTTTCCCCCCACTGCTCCAGAGACAGTGTAACAGCTCTGACTAGGCAGCACATCGTTACATCCTTGGTCTTTAAGTTGGGAGGCTTCAGCACTTGTCTGGTTGCAGGGTAAGAAAGTCAATTATTTAAGTTTGGCCTAAATTTAAGTCATTCACTCTCAATAATTTCATAAAAGTAACAGATGAAGCGAAGTTTTTGAACTGGTAACTGCAACTAGGAATAGTTAGAGAAATGAACCAGAGATACAGAACACCATTTCACCTTTCATCAACCAGTCACTGATGAAATACTTACTTATAGGAGGATGTTGCATGAATGCCTGTACTGGAGCTGGGTTAAAGACTGGGTTGGAATGAACAGGCATGTGTGGTGGGTGGAGAGGTAAAGGAGCCTGTGCAGGTTGAAGAGGAACATGGCCTGGCAGAGGAAAGATATTGGGATACATGTTGCTGCTTGATGAAGAAACACTGTTATGATGAGCTGTAGAAGCGTATGTTGTGATTGGCTGCTTTGGTACAGCCCCGGTTTCTGCAGCAGGCACCCCAGAAGCTCCAGCAGATGGATTTGGAGTGATGTTACCTGCAATGAGAAGGCAAATTACATATAAGAAATGAAATGAAATAAAATAAATAATAATCATTGAGGAGTAATACAAATACATCATGTGAATTAACAATGGAATTCTCAAACCCCCTTCATTACTGTCTATAGCTTCATGCAATTATTTAAGTATTGCCCATTACCTCTGTTTCAGTAACATGCATGAGTGATGCTTTACAACAATTTGCATCAGTGTTCATCTCTTCTTGTTGTAACTTTATTTTATTATATTATTGGTTTTCCTGCAGACCTACTACCACTGAACAAGTCTCTGAAAGAGGCTTGTTTCACTGTTTAGCAACCAGTAGCTGACCAATAAGTATCGTTAGTACAAAATTTCCAGATTTTTGGACTGTCCACTGATATTAAGTACTGACACTACTTCTCCCTTCCATTACCACAGATAACTGAGAGTACACTGTATAAAAATAATTGTTATATTAAACAAAATGTGAAATGTAAATTAAATTATGGAGATCTATTATAAATACATTGTTTTTATACATTCATTTGCTAAAAATGTAAATGTGATACAATATTATGAGTACATAACACCAGTACTACCTCAATTAAAATTTCTTTAAGCATTGAATTCTGTTTTACTGTCCTGACAACTTGAAAAAATGTAAACAGACTACTAATTCCATAATTATTTTTTTTTAAATCTTACTAAGCAACTCATAAGAATGTATAATTTCAGCTTTCAGGGTTCAGTGACGTACATGTTCAATATTTAGATGTACACTGCAAGTCCATCTTCAGGGTAAAGGCAATGTACACTAAAACTCTGGAAGAGCTTCTACATACAATGCAGCTAAATTCCAAAAGACAATGTTGCAGGCAAAAATATTGTAAGAATGACCCACCAATGCACAATTTAAACAATAATATTCACAGGAAATTATTCTAACTGAAGGATCTGATGCATGTTACTTGTGTTCTACTGCAGTAAACTTAGTATATCCTCACTACTAGTCATTATAGGGATAGAAATACAAAATGGAGATTCGTACTCTGTTTCTGAGTATCTTCATTCACAACAGTCCAGCCCTCTGTCTCTGGACTCTCACGCTCAGATCTGCCTGCACTTGCATTGGCTTCCTTCTCATGCTTATTATCAACTTCCATAGCATCGGTCTGTTCTTCAGGAACATTCTTCCCACCTTTGTTATCATGTTCCTTCTCTGGATCTCCTCTTTTCTCACTCCTGTTTCTAGTTCGCACTTCTATATCCACATCAATCCCTGTAATATATATATACAAACCTTTATAATGAATGCCACATGCCAATCAACATGTTCCTTCACTTATATTGAAGTCTGATCAGAACTGCAGAAGTCACAATCATTTTACTTCACCCCTGCATTTTGTATTGATTTCTGTCATCCTGATATCTCAGTTTTGGATTATATCAGTCCAATATTAGAAACAGACACTTGAGAGACCATGGCAGGAAACATTTTGAGGCAACAGACATCCCATTTCTGAGCACCGTATATGAAGTGTATCTGCATACAGTTTTGAGATAAGAATATCAATGAAGAGATTCCAGATTAATGAAGTAACAGGAAGAGAATGTATAATACAGATTTTCATAAAAACTCTCTTTGTTTAAACAAAACAGTAAATGAAACTTGAGATGTTCTACAGTGAGATGAAGGGATAAGTTTTTCCTTTGAAATGCTCCTAATGGCCCATACTTTGTTTTAAAGATCAGTTCAATGAATTACATTAAGTTCAAACTGAACTATTCTGTGCTGTTTGATAATGA